CACCACCCAGCCCCCTGCTTCCAACTCACACGCCTCTTTCCTAAAATGTCCCTTCAGCAAACACAGTGGAGCAACTGGTGAGCAATGGAGGTGCTAGAAGAGAAAAAGCTTTACTTTGTTTTTAGCCAGATATAGTTACTATAATGTTTCAGTTTTATATATAGAGAGAGAGAGAGAGGGAGAGAGAAAGAGAGAGAGAGACTAAAATTTCAGTTTATTGAAAAGTATGGGCTTCTTCCATACCATCTTTTAACATTAAAATTTTAAAAATATTTTTGACTGCTCTGCGGTGCTCTTTCTGTTTTAGTCCCGAGCCAGCTCTCTAACTGGTTATCTTTAGCGGGCTGACCGGACACCGGGCCGACCGCAGCCTCACCATGGCCCAGAATTTGTGGCTTGTGTGTGGGTGAAACTGAAATGATGGCTGAAAAATGACAAATGGTGTTTAGCTTATGAAGAACAGAGATTGATTTAAATGTAACTTTTTATTGAAAAGCCAGATCTACTGCTTTGGGTTCCACTTACGGACGTTCCCACATTTGGAAGTGAGTGTGTGTGAGTGTTGAAGACGGAAGTCTCTGGGCTCCAGGAGGCCGTGTATTTTGGGTGCTGACCGCGGTAGCCACCCTGGGAGTTGCCTCCAGCCACCGCTAGGTGGTTACTTCTAAAGAGCCCCTGTTGGTGGAGCGAGACCTCAGGTGTCCCCAGCATTTCTTCAGTATTGTTTCCTATTTTATCTTTCATGCCTCTTATGAAAGATTTGACATTTCCATTATGTTTGCAGACTGTAAACATGCACAAGAAATTATTTTGGTCAGTTCATTATGAATAGGTATTTTGGTTTGTTTTAGAAAATTTTCTAAAAGGCATTTTAGCTTCAGCTATTGTGCAAAATGCATAAAAATAACCTACATGAAGGGAATCTAGTGCACAGCACACACACACACACACACACACACACACACACGGGAGGCAGGCACGGTGCCTGATTAACTTCAGCCTCTAATTTTAGTTGAGAATTAGCAGGCCCTGGATGTCTGGTTCCAATGAGCTCTAGCTGCTTTATCAGCCAGCCAGTAACAGCAGGTTCAGCTGTGACGGACGCTCCCACACGGGCCCGCCTGGGGAGGCTGCCCACAGGTGCTGTCACCCCTGCATTCCTTTCCCTCTCCCCCCCCCCTCCACCTCCCCGACGGTCCCAGCCCAGACCTCAGCCCCGGCCCCGGCCCTGGCCCCGGCCCAGCCGCAGTCTGAGCTCTGCTTCTGCTCCTGGCCGTGATCCTGATTGAGGATCTACTCCCCTAAACACTCCTACCAACTTCTTAATCCCCGTCTGGGCTTATGGCTGTCTGTGCAGAAGGAGGGATGCAATGAGACGTGACAGGGACGGGGCAGCCTAGGCCTGCGTGTATATGTTTATTATAAAAAGAGGGGGAGAGAGAGCCGTACATCCACTCCCTTCCTCAGAGGCAAATCCGGGCGCTGTGGGTCACGGGGGCCACACCAGAGTCTCTCCTGACTGAGCAGGGTCCCCTCCTTCTAGGCCCATTCAAAATGATGGGGCTCAGGAGGCACGGGGAAAGGAACACTGAACCTAAGGTCCGCACCCACACTGATGTCCTCGCCCTGCAGGCACCGGTCCACGCTGGTCAGTGAAGCTGTCCGGCTCCTCGGGGAGAGCCCCGGGCGCCGAGCAGGCCGGCGAGGCCTCTCCCTGGAGGAGCCCTGGGCCCTGGGCCGTGCAGAGATCGGGACATGCGGCTGCAGACGGGGAACTCAAGGGGAGAAACGGCCAAGATCTGCTCATCACGGAGTTGACACTTACCAAGGGCTAATGACCAGGAAAGGACCCCGAAACGTCGTCGTTTTTCACAGTCGGATATTTTCACATATTTTTTGTAGAACCAGGGAGGCCAAGACTGTGGCTGGAAGGGTAAGAAAGACATGACTTGACCGGGAAAAAGTGCACTGCTCGAGGTCAGCAAAAGACAGCGATGCAGCCAAACTGAGGAGGCCACAGTGAGCGTTTGTCTTGGAAAGAGAGAGAAAGTGACGTCGTTTCAGGAGCATCACCGGTTTGAATATAGTTCAGACGCCCCTTCAGAAAACATGTAATGGGTGTCCCTTGGTACCCACACAGCGCTGGACACCAAGGAAGGCCCTCGTCAAGCAGAGGGAGGGGAAGAAGACGAGGGAAGGGGAGAGGAAGGCAGGCGGCAAAGGTCTTTATGAAACGTGAGTCGGACACGGCCTGTCTGCTCAGTCTGCCCGGGGCTCCCCGTTAAGCTTGGAATACAGTCCCGGCCCCTTCCTCCAGATGGCGAGGCCTTGTGCGGTCCTGCCCCCGCCACCCCTGACTTCACTTCTTACTCCCCTGTTCCGAGTGTCAGGCTTTGGTCACAGTGCCTTTTTGTTGTTGTTCTAACACAGGTTCTTCAGCTTTGGCACCACTGACACCTGGGGCTGGACAGGCTATGCTGTGGGGCTCTCCTGTGCACCGCAGGATGTGTAACCCCACCTCTGGCTCTACCCAGCGGCTTTCAGTCACAGCACCTACCCCTACTCCAGTCTGACACCAAAAATGTCTCCAGACCTGGCCAAATGTCCCCTGGATGGCAAAATAGCCTCTGCTCGGGAACATTGCTAAGCCTGTTTCTCCTTAGGGTTTCAGCTCTAGCCGTTTCCTCTGCTCGGGGGCTCTCTCTCTGCCTGATCCCGCCTGTCATTCAGATCTCAGCATGTAAACGTCACTCTTAGAAAGGGTCGCACCCAATGTACAGTAGCCACTCAGTTGATTTCTTAAAAAATTTATCTTTATTTCTGAAAGTATTACAGATGTCCCCTTCTTTCCCCCACTGACCCCCTCTACCCCACACTCCCAGCCCCCCACCAGGCCCTCAGTTGATCTTGACGTTTTTAAAATGAGCCCTCTGGCACTTTCATTCTCTAGCCTGTGTGTGCACGTGTGTGTGCATGTGTGTGTGCACGTGTGTGTGCATGTGTGTGTGCATGTGTGTGTGCACGTGTGCGTGCATGTGCACGCATGTGGGCCTGCATGTGTGTGACCTGACCTGTCTTCCCCAGCAGGACATCTGCTTCGTGACAGGCTGCCTTTTTACTGTCCTATTTCTGTCCCTGGGATACTCCCTGGCTCATAGTACAGGCTCCAATGCACATCCTCAGACGGGTACTTGAGCGCCCGTTGCCCCTGCAGTGTGGGAACCCAGCTGACACTCAGGTGCCTACAGCGAGGAGTGGCCGACCTGGGCAGAGCCTGTCCTCCTCTGTCAGGACAACGCCTGGACACCATGGAAGGTGTGAACACCTTTCGTGGGTACAAGTTTTTTTGAGGCAAAGAATAGAAGCCACATTGGGATTGTAAGAGGAATAACTGATCATCCTTCCAGAGACTGGAAAGTTGGCATCGAAGCTGAGGAGGAAGATGAAGGTCGAACGGTTTCCGTGCGACTTGCCCAAGAATAAGTGTAAGCGGGGGCCCCCTCGCCTTCCTGAGCGCCAGCCTCTCTCCTGCACTGCCCTCATGTTCTCTCAAGGTCTTGCATTAACGAAGCCACCTCTAGGGATGGCGAAGGTCTTGAATTGGTCTTGCTGCATATGCAGTTAGAGTCCTGACATTCTCGGGCGGATTATCATTTTTCCTTGCAGCGATGGCAAGACCCCCTTAGAGGTCAGGGCCTCCTGAACCTGACAGAAGAGTGGAGCAGGGGAGAATGGCATGATTTTATCACATTGCCAGTACCCGTAGTGTATCTGAATGGTCTACAAAGGTACATTTTTAAATGACGTATACTAATAATTTAGCTCTTTCCAGTTCAATTTCAGATCCAAATTAGATATTTTAAACAAAGTGACTTTAAAGCCACTTGAAGGTACTCTGACTAAGCACAGTGGGGCTCTGGCGAGCAGGGTTGTCTGGCCCATCCGCCAGCGGGGCAGGTCCGGCCATCTCTCTCCCCCGTCCTGAGCAGCTTCCTGGATTAAACTCTTATTTACTCCCTGATGTAGCCATAGACCCATTGCTTACTCCTACTCAGTGTTCATTTTATTCTTATAAACCTTCCATAAAGGTTTTAAGGCTTCATTGGTTCCCACTCAGAACATGTTGAGGCCTTTGCGTTTGCTCTTTCCCTGTGATGGCACCGTCCCTAACGACCAGGAGCCTGCCAGGTGTCTGTGACTCCAGGAGATTGAGGACGTCCCCTAGTCAGTCTCTGCCACAGGACAAATGGGGGGTGTTATTGGGAATATTAATCTCATTTGAAACGTTGGTGTTTTGACCATTATAATCTAGCATAAACCGTGGAATCCTTAAATCACATCTCAGATATTCTGGTTGGTATGTTAAGGAAGGAGAAGAAGAAAGTCCAGGACGCCCTCCGCTTCCCCGGCAAGGAGAGGAGCGACTCCCGGCACGCTCCGAGCCCGCCCTGCGTGCCCGGGAGCCCCGACGGTGCCGGGGCACTGCCGCCCCCAGCACCCACACAGGGCCGGGACCCCGACACTCTCAGACACAGGTCCGGCCTGCTCCACAGAAAAACAGGTCAGTGATATTTACTTGTAAATATAGATTATATAGCCTTAAATGGACTCTCATAAATTATGCATCCATATAAACAGTAAAAAGTGCAAACAGTTATAATTTTATCATCACCCTCATCACTGTAATCTTGTCCTTGTTCTTATTACTAATATCTCTTGAGGTTTTGTAGCTGTAGCAGCAGCTGCAAAAGGCCCCGGGTAAAGTTTGTCCATCCTCAAAAGACATCCAGAATTCCTCATGCTCCACAGTGGAATTCAGCGTGGCGCCCTTCAGTTTTCAATGTGCAACGATGAGGCTCTACCAATTTGTTTTTAGAATTTTTATTACAACCATCAAATAAATGAAATATCAGTTTCCAAAGCTGATGGCTGAACTGAAAAAAACAATGTCTGAACTGTCACAGAGCTCAGAGGCAGAAAGAGATGGGTCCAGGGCCACAGTAGAAAGAAAGAAAGACTTTCCCCTGACATAGGAGGGAAAGAACAAGGACAGATGTGGCATTGCTGACGTGATGACACAGTGCTTATTTCTAAATTCAGATGAGCTTTCTGCCACAAAATAACTTAAAGATATTATCAGAGTCTGACATACAGGGCAATAAACAAACAAAACTGTGCCAGACAATAAATATCACAGCGTTGCACCGACTCAGGCTCCCCCCCCCATCTGTAGCGTTTGATGAGTGTGTCAGTATCTCAGCTACGGGACCACCTGGCCCCCGACTGGTCGGTGCACTCTTCTTTCTCTACTGGACCAGCCGAGCTCGATGTGCAGTAATGTGCCTGATGCCCTTCTCTTGAGGGCGTGGGCGAATCTGAAATATGGAGTGTGCTAGAACAAAGTGGGAGAAAGCTTGCCTTTTGACAACATAGGTTGACGCTTTCCGGGTAAATGTTTGTTGGAATTGGTGACTTGACATGCATGGTTTCCTACAGGATTTCGCTTGGGAATAAGTAGAGTATGGTTCTCGCTAAGAAATACATTTTTGCTTGACCAGTGTGGCTCAGTAGTTGAGTGTCAACCATGAACCAAGAGGTCACAGTTCAGTTCCTGGTCAGGATACATGCCCAGGGTGGGGGTTCGATCCCCAGTAAGGGGCACGCAGGAGGCAGCTCATTGATGTTTCTCTAGCATCAATGTTTCTGTCTCTCTGTCTCTCTCCCTTCCTCTCTCTAAAAATCACTAAGAACATTTTTTTTTTTAAATGAAATACATTTTTTGGTTTATAAAGACAAGATTGAGAAGCCTGAATATATAGTTTGTGATATTATGTCCCTTTATCTATTTTTTTAAAATTTATTGGGGTAACATTGGTTCATAACATTATATAGTTTTCTTGGGTGCAAGGTTATAATTCACCATCTGTGTACTCTATTGTGTGCTCCCCACCTGAAGTCTAGATTCCTGCCATTACCATATATTTGACCCCCTTTATCTTTTCATTCCAAATCTTCTTGCATTGGATATTTTTTTTAGTAACACTGTAGGATAAATTCAAAATCATAGGAAACCAAAAAATGCTATTTTACCATTTATCATGGTGGCTGTAGATGGGGTATGTTACTCATCTCTGTGACTGTGTTCTCTCCAGCATTCCTGAACTCTGTGATGGGTAACAGCTGGTGGAAAAGTAAAAGACCCTCTAGATTCGTGAATTTATCAGTTCATTCTCCTATTTATTCATTCATTTATCCCTTCAACATATATTTATTGAGTATACTTTGTTCTAGGTACTGTGCTAATTATTATTATTGTAGCGAAAGCCTACATAGCCCTTATATACATCAGGTACTATTCAGAGTTCTCTACCTGAATTAACTTTTCTAATCCTTGCCCCGTAAGGTCTTGTTTTACCCACATTACAAATTAGGACGTCCATGGACAAACACAATCTCTGACCTCTGAGTGCTTGCAGACCGACAGAGAAGAGGGCCTTGAACAATTAATTACAAAGCACACCCCTGTATTACTGAGAGAACGCGTACGGGGAACCCTACCTCAAGTTGAGACCAGGAAGGTCCAAAGGGGGTCATGGGGTGGGAGTGTGGCTGGAAGGAATGTTGCAAGCAGAACAGTAGCTTTCAGGGCCTTTGTGTAGAAAGGAGTGTTTTAGGAAGTAAAAGGCCAGGATGGTTGGGGTTGGGGGGTGTGAGGCTGGGGAGAACAGATTGGCAGTGGACACGAAGCTTGCATATCCAGTTAGAAGGCCATTAGAGTGTAGTCCAGAGCAGAGGATGGGATGCTGGCAGGGAACTGGGATCAGAAGCCTTTAGGAGATAAATAGGGCCTGGTGACTAAAGGATATGGGGGGGTTGGCCCCCAGGTCTTTGGGTGGCTGGGGAGGCTCTTCATGGGGGTAGAGAACAGTGCCTCCCCGGGCCCTGCAGCAATGGCATTGCTGGCCACAGAGGAAATAGTCTTGGGGTGTCTGCCAACGTGAAAGGTCACAATCAGTACCCACGATGGAACCCCAGGCTCATGATGGAAGGAACTCTGTTTACTGGCCTTTTCCAAACATGCACACCATGTGCCCGGGCAGGAATGGCCTGGACGTCGCTCCCAGCCCTCGCTCGGTGCCAGGCCCTCTCCGTTTCCCCTTTCCCCTGCCCACACCATCCCTCTTCCCATAATTCTTCCTCCCCACAGCAGCTCGCAGTCTCCCAACTCACAATTACAGTCAGCTCGCAGTAACTCTCCCCTCCCTTGATACTGCTATGGAGAAAGGCTATAGTTTTGTTTGGAGTATGAATCAAGTTTACTTGAATAGAAAATCGCTGAAAAAATAATGGAAATTGTAAAGTCCAAGTACAAACGAGGTAAAAGAGTTTTGGCGAAAAGCCTTACAGTTGAAAGGGTTTTTGAGCTGTTTTAACTGTCACTGGATATAGTTCTAGCAATAACTTTAAATAGGACCAGGCTCACAAATGGACTGATAACGATCTAAGCACTGGGAGGAGGGATAGATGGGGGATTGATTTTGTTTTTTGGCAAAACTACAAATAGGATGAAAATTGCTGTGGATGAGTCCATGCTGCAAAGCAACAGGTAATGGGATAGCTTGTTACGTTTAAGATTCTTGGAGCCGATTAAGCTTTTATTATTGCATTATTTTATATACAAGCAGCCTGTGTACTCTAAACCGAATTCAAAAAACGCATTAGCATGCTGTTTTGAGTGTATTTCTGCCTAATGTAGGTGCTGTTCATTTCTGTTAACCGGCCCTGGGGCTAGCAAATCTGGCTATCTTCTACCCAGGCTGCTGTGAAATTGTCTCTCCCTTTAGATGATCCTCCCCTTCTTCCATTTACCCCCACTTTATGCTGAAAATGACTCCTTTCAAATCTCTCCGGTTAAAAGAACATGAAACCAAATTCACGGTTCACTGGAGAATCCCACGGGGTCCTTGTGCAGCAGCTGCCAAGGGGAGGAAGGGTGAGGCTGCGGGGCTTCTTGTTGTTGTTTTGGAGGTTAAATGTCTGTTTTGGTTTTATTGAAATAATAGGAGCGATTGTTCAGCTTTCCAGTTTGAAGAGTCATATTGTTCTCTTTAAAACAGCAGTTTTATAGTTTATCTGGGTGGTGTGTGTGTTTTATTTGGGTTTTTGTGTTGTTTTGTTTTTGTTTTTGCTTGTTTGGATTTTTTTTCTGTGTCAGATCTCCAACTGCAAGTTCCAAATAGCCACCCAGAGCCCGCCAGTGTTCCAAAGCCCCCGACGACCTACCTCATCTTTAGCTGTTTGAGATGCTAACGGAACCCCCTGGTCACAGGTGATGTCACTGGCATTGGAAAAGGTGAAGTGAAAGCCAAAGCCCCAGCTCCAGGCTCTTTTCCCTGACTCCATGAGAATTTCTTAAATCTCCACGATGTGCGTGGAAGGTCGGAGGGCACATGTTGCAGGGGGTACCGAGGCGAACTGACAAGTGGCCCCTGACTCTCGGCGTGTACATTTAAGTAAAGGAGGCTGGCTTGGTACCCAAACTGCAGGGGGTGCAATAACAAGGGCTGTGAGCAGGAGCTGGGAGAAACGCCACGGGAACTCAAAGGAGAAGAGATGAGTTCTAATGAGCAGATCGGGGAAAGCATTGCAGGCAAGTGACGTGGAAGTTAGGGCTCCAAGGACTGGTAGGATTGGACATTCAAGGACGGAGGAAGAACGCTCTGAACCGTCCGGGTTTAAAGGGCACTGTGGACAGAGGCCTGGGAACAGGGAAGGGAGAGTATGCGGCGTTGGCAGGGGCATTTGCTCAGCTGGGCCCTTGGAGCCCCAGGGAGGGAAGAAGTGAGTGGGAAACGGTTCGGAGGGTCGCCCCAGGGGTTGGGAGCTCAGGGATGGGGCTTCCTGTGCTTCCACGGTGTTCCGATTGCTTCCATGTCCTTATTGAAGAAGTAGGGACACATTATGAAAACCCTTGAATGCCAGGCCAGGGAATTATCTTCATTTGGTTGCAAGGAAACCGCTGACACAGAAAGGGCCCAGCGATGGTTGCAGCCTGGGAGGTATTTCTGGAAGAAGCTTTAGGGCATGTTGGAGACGAGCCAGTGACTCCTGGAGACTGGAGTAAATGGCTTAGGAAATACCGTAGCGGTCCAGGCTGGGAACAGAAGCGGCGAGGCGCGTGAAGAGCAGCTCCCGGTGGCCGGTGGCTGGTGGCCGGTGGCCGGTGGCCGAAGGGCCGCTCTGTTCCCGCGCTTTCCCGCCGGCCGCCTGCTTTCTCGGGCGCAGAGGGCACGGCCGGGCTCAGGCAGGAGACCCCGAGGGGCTGGCGCCTCTCTGGGCTGCTCCAACCTCGAGTCAGTCCCTTGGATTTGCGTTACTCCTGCTCAGAGGATTGCTCTCCAGGCCCAAGCTACTGTTGTGAGGGCTCAATGTACCCAACCCTCCACTGTGCTGGAAAGAGAAGCTCAAAGAGAATTTGATGGAGGCAAAACTCACCTGTAAAACAACTAGGAAAAAGAAGAGAGAGTAGATTTTCTAAGACCCTTCCCAGCTTGCTTTGTG